GATATTTCACAGACCTTGATGACATTTATGGTATCTTGTACTCTCCCTGTCGCTGGGGCACATTATAGTTTCTGTTGATGGTCTTTTGCTATTATAATTTTCTATATGGTGGTGAAAACTTACTTTGGCCTGGGAGAAGCAGATGTTCCATTTATCCTTCTGGGTGAGCTGCTGATTGCAGGTGCAGCCTGCTCTTGGAAAAGGCTGGACAGAGTGACTCTGGTATTTCTTCGAGCCTTATGGTCCCAGTTCCTGGACAGATACCAACCAAACTTTCATTGTCCATGTAGTCTAGCATAAACATTATGGCAGGCAGTGCTCACACTAGGAAAACACTGAGCCTATTAACAGCAGGGAAGGGAGAAATAACCTTGTAATATCTGAATGTCACAACTCTCAGAAGGGGGGAAAAAAAAAACAACACTTGCAGAAACTAAGGGCATAGAGATGGCCAGTGGGAAGAAGGGTATCTATCAACAAGCTGTTAGCAGACTTGAAGAATCAATTACTGTGCATGGCATAAGAAAGAAACTAGCCATTTGCAGCTATGCTATTAGAGTGATGACCACATAAATACCAGCTGGATTTTGTAACAGCTGCAAGATATTTCCAGCAATGCTGATAAGTCATGATAGTAGGAAGAAGAAGTATGACCAAGTGCTGGCAACATACAGTCTAAACCATTTCGACACCAGAGGGAAAAGTACATTGCCAATGAGAAACCAATAAACATGAGTCATTATCACTTGGCTTCCTTAGACAATGTTCTGGGGGAAATGGGAAGGATGTCACCTACTGCCAAGCAACTGGTAGAGCAATGCACAGGTTTAATCACAGCACAACACCAAAATGCACTTAAGAGAGGAGGCATGGCCCAAGCCAGTATTCAAACAGTGGATAAAGATATATTTCTCAGAGACTGGCAGCTTTAGGGAAACATGAAGTTAGATCACCACAGACAGCCCTTGAGAAATGTGACAGCACAGCACAGGTTTCTCTGGTAGAACTTCTACAGGAAGAAGTGGCAGCACCACAAAGATTCCTCAGACAACCAGTAAGATCAGCAAAGCACTGATCAGCAACCCAGGGGCAATGGACACTTAGAGACAAACTGAAATAAACCATTGGAAAGAAGTCCCTCTCCATTACCAGCTGCTGAGAATAATAAATTCTGAGTAATCGAGGACACAAGTGGTACCACTGCTGCAGTCAGAAGCCTGCTCTGGAATACTCATGTAGGAAGGAAAGTCATCCACCTAGCTGACCATCTTTTGTTCACCTTTTGGCAGGGCATTATAAGGCAAGAACTCTGCAGGCAGGTGAATGAACATCAAACACTTTCAGTGAGATCTGCACAGAGCAGAAGTTGCAAGAGGGAAGAATCTGAAGGAGTCTCCAGGAAATCAGCATGCGTTCAGAGAGCTGTAATGTTAACAGACATTGCTTCTTTCTCTTACTAGATCTCTAAATGAAGAACCAGTTTTATTTTGCAAGTGTGAACCCTTCACATCATGTTATCCAGCTGGCAATACACGGGACAGGCTAACCTAATAGTGTTAAGTGGGTGCAGACGTTTTTCTCATTTTCAGTACACAGGTTTCCAAACTGTGGCATGCAGTAGAGATAACACGTTACATTTTATTGGCTCTTCTCCCTTTTCTTCAGCTATTGAATTTCATTAAAATACAGCTAAAATACATTAATTACTTCCCTAGTATTCCTGTAATTGCTATTGCTTTGCCACAGGGAGGATATGTGATAGGAAGTGGAAGAGGAGGTGATCTTTTAGCATGGAGAATGGGAAGGGAGGTGTGCATCAGTATGTCCTTCAATTAAGTAATGATCCCAGATGATAAAGAAGTTTAAGGACCCCTGCTGCTTTAGCACACCCCCATGTTTTCATTATTGGAGCTAGAGAATGAACAGCCAAGCTCTTAGAGAGATTATGTTATCACTGAGTTGATCTCCTACTTCGACCAGTTTTACATCTTTGTTATGCCACTGATTTCAGCAGCACTGTCCCTGATATACATCAGGATAAAGGAAGATGGACTTTGTTGCCTCACTTTTATGGATATTGAAGCCAAGTACTACATTGCAATGTTGACTATTTTTTCAAAAGGCAATGACACAGAGCCATCATAGCCCAGGAGGTAACAACCTTCCTCTGGCATCAGCCGTCAGCATCAAATGCTTCTGACTGTTCCCACTGGCTTGTACCTCTCCATTCACTCCAGGAAGAGTTACCTTGCTCCTTACTAAGTGCAGGGCACCTCACAGGGAACATGACGTGTGCTGTTCAGCATTAAGGCAGCAGCTCACACTGCTGTCTCCTGACCTTCCCAGCCCTGATGAGTGTTGCATCCTTCTTGCTCAGTGTAGAGCACTGCTGGTGGGCTGCAGAAGCTGTGGTTCTGAGGTGTGCCATTGCAAAATTCACCCCTAGCTCTGTATCTCAGAGTACATATTGGATGAACTATCTCAGAAAAGTCTGAGATGTCTGCCATTGGCTCATGAGTTGTCATTATTATAATTAAAAATATTTTATCTGGAAAGTTATGCCAATAAACCTCTACTAAATATTAAAAGGAGAAAAAATCCTGCCTGATTGTTTTATTGAATATACATATAAGTTAATAGTAATAATAACAACAACAATAATAGTAATAGAAACACCTGTCCCTTCTTCAGTATATTTATTTCTGATACTGGTGTTGATTTCTAAAGGTGATGTAAATATGGATGATTACTGATTTTTTTTGTAAAATGTTTAACACAGTTTTGTAAGTATGCTTCATTTGCTCTGCTCATTTGTTTCACCAGCCAGCTACATCTTTGTGTTTGTTGAGCTCCCTGGAATAGGAAGGGTCTGTATTTACAACTGTGTTTTTCTTAGTTAAAAAAATAATTCAAAAAGTAATACCGTTGTGATATAATAACAAATTAAAAGGGTAAGCTTTGGAGGCCTTGGACCTCTAAGGCTTTCCCCTTAACCTGTGTTCACCTCGTGATGTTAGATTGTCTGATACCTCTCCCACTGCCATAACTCCAAGACAAAGCCTTATTATTCATAATTTAATGTATAGATAACATCTATTTGAGTTGTAACATGAGCCTACCAAAACTACTTCAGAAATGTAGGCATATCACAGAACTAAGGCAGTTTTGAAAATCCTGCCTTACCAGAGGCTTTTGTTTGTTTAGTTTATTTATAGTTCTTTTAATACTAATCTTCACAAATACTGTAAACCCTTCTGGGCCCGCTATTATTACTGCATGTGTGTACAGAATCCAATATAGTGGGCCCTCTTCTTGTTGAGAAATATTGGGCACAACTTAGCAAGCAATAAAACCTAAGGGACATCTAGTGCCAGCAAGTGGATGCCCACCGTCTGCTAATTCAGTGTTCAGCTTGTGGCCCTTGGCTGCAGCCCAGACACTGGTTTTTGAACTACAGCTTCAGGGGGATCAGAGGAGAGGTCCTGGGGCACTAGGTTGAGCCCAAAGGCTGCACGACTCCTTCTGGTGGATTTGTGTCCAGGTTTGGAAAGGAGAGCAGCAAGGACCTTGAAGAGGACCCCAAACAGCCACCTGATTCTCACAGCTGATAACAGGAGACCTCCTGGAACTTTTTAGTATCACTCATTGTAATATCTAGGTATTTTGGCATACTGTTTTCAATACACTGTTTTCAAGCACTGTAACAGTATTCTAGAAATTAATAAATGTGAGACTGAGGGATGTTTCTCGGCAAAATACTGTGCATACCTATTGCATGGCATAAATAATACATTGTGATAATTAATAATGATAAATAATAAATAATGCAGTCAGTCACGGCACTGGGGACTATGGATAGACTTACATTTATAAAAGTTGAAATCCTATGATAAAGGGGTAATGTTTCAAACATTGAGCTGTGGCACTCTGCATTAATGCACAATTCAGACTTTTTAAGCATTTAGTAAAGGTGTTTGGTCAATAATCTCATTTTTAGATGCCTAACAACCAATGACATCAATGACAGTGGCATGCCTGCACACCTTCAAGCATCAGGTTTACATGTCTGCAAATCAATACCAGTGGACTAAACTGCTCCCAAGAAATAGGAGTGGGTGTGTGATTGCACCAACTGTGTGCACACTTAGAACCAGGGGTACAGAAAGAGAGGACTGATGTAGCTGAAAAGCAGACATGGAGCATGTAAAAATTTGTAGTTATGTTAAGTGTACTTAATATTTACCTTTGTATACAATCTATAGCCCTGTATTGCCTCCCCTCTTTCACCGAACTCATTTATCAGTCCAGCATATTCACACCCATTCTAATAGGAAGGGGAAGAGCTGATTGACAGTTCATTGAACCAGATACTTCTTAAGGGAAAAATTGAAGACGTTAATTATAATATCTAGTACTGCTTTAGTATTTCAGAGAGCCACAGTGTAAATATAATGTAAGCCTAGAATGGGAACCAATATTTTCCTGACACCTCCCCAAGCAGGCACTCCAGATTTTATGATGCTGAAGAGTCAGAGAATTCAGATCCCATTCCCCTGTATAGCAAAACAGGGACTTTCAAACAGAAAAATAAATTTGTTGGCTTTAACAATATATATTTTTGGTTAAGTTAGCAGTTTCAAAAGTCCCTGTTTTCCCATGAATTCAAATGGGAGCTGAATTCTGCTCTGTTGCAGACTGTCATGTTGGCATTCTGTTAAGTCATTTATTTATTATTTTTCACTCTAAGTGCAACACCTTTTTCAGTGATTTGATATTTTGGTCAATTATATATAGTGGTTAGAATGGCTGCTCTATTGCATTGCTATTTCATTTAAAGATACATTGCTTGGGCCTCTGTTCAGCCAAGTACTTAGGCAGGTACCCAGCTTAAAGTGCATCACCATCAACATTGAGTCATCTGTTTTAAATTAGGCACTCTAGCTGAACCTTAATTAGGCAAGTAGTTTTAAGGAGTCCTTTGCCTTTTGTCACGAGGCATAACCCGTCATCATCAATGGAAAGTTTTCCTGAGTGCAGACTTTGTCCCTGTATTTCCAAGGTGCAGATCTCCCCAGTGGTGCTGTTTTATGATGTGTTTTTATCACTCCATCTCTAATGTCTTTCACCGTACGGGGAGAACAGAAATGAAAAGAAAAACGCAGACACAGGAAAGGTGGCAATTTAGGGACTGTGCATCTGTGTGACAGGCATCCTTAGGGAGAAGAAAGAAAAACATTTAGGAAGTTCTGTACAACCACTGCTCGACTACAAGACCACCCCACTGCAGGTAAGAAATGAGAAATTTTGAGGGCTACTGAGCACTGACTCTTCACAGTGGATCAACGCTCAGAGTTATTTAGCACAGGTGTTTCTGTAATTGTGACACATTGATAAAATTCTGTGCTCACTGGCCCTCAAGCACCTCTTTCCCACCTGTGCAGTGGTCTGGTATTAGTATGCTGGGGGTTTAATAAAAAACATTTCGTCAGCTGGGCTGTGTCAGACCCTGCATTTTCCTCATCTTCTGCATGCTTCTCTCTTTGTCCGGATGACTGTCTGTGCATTTGTAGCTTATACATGTGTTTTGAAAGGAATCAGATGGTCATGATTAATAATTGTGCATGTGGTTAGCATCTCTCCTGAGCTAGGAAGTTCTTTTTCTGCATTTCTGCAGTTTGACACCACCCTCACCCTCACCCCCCCCTGTTTTTCCAGTCCAGCTCCATGTCAGATTTCCAGGTGAGGAGGTAGTGGATGTGTGTTATGCAGGAGGAGACACACAAAGTACTGACACTGCAGGCAGATTTCCATACACACTGAGAATGCAGGCTGCCTGTGGAGAAGGGAAGCTGGAATTTCTTTATTTTTCATATGGCAATTGACACGCCATCTTTTTTTTTTTTGTTGTTTGTTTGTTTGTTTTTTGTTTTTGTTTGTTTGTTTTTGCTTGTTTGTTTGTTTGTTTTTGTCCCAAGGTCTTTACACGGAGAGGAGAGATTTTAAATTTGTATGAGGAAGTCATAATGTTGATACCAATGGACACCCTTAAGAAAAGCCTACCAGTGTCAGATTACTTCAAGCTACATGCATTAAGGTTTCTTGCTCCTGCTCCAGCCTTGAGGAGAGGTCAGTGACCACCCTGTGTCTGGAGGGGCAGTTGGTCAGACAGTATGAACCCCGTAATGCAGGGCTGACTGATCAAAACCTGAATAAGCCACTCTTACCCCATACTGAGGCTCCCAGATGAGAGAAGGCAGAGCCACAAGAGCAAGCTTTGCAGAAGACAGCTCAGTTTTGCCAGCAGCAGCCCAGCACACAGACAGCTCTGGTCTTGGCCGAATCCTGCTCTGCTTCCCTGCAGTGCATGGAGGTCTCCTGGCTGTAGTCCCCAGTGCTCCTGGGGGCTGCTTCTGCTCCTCACAGCACTACCACGGGTATCCCTACAAGCCTGGCACAGTTAATCTGCCACCTGATTCATTGCCTTGTGGATACTCAAGAGCTGAGTGTAATATAATGCCATCTTTATAAAAAAGGATTTTCTCACTTTTTCCCTTTTTATAGTATGAGAGTGACATATTTGTTCCATTTCTCTTAGGTAAAGGAGTCTTAGCCTGCTGCACTCAACTTTCTAATTCTTTCCCCATCCCTACCTATGAATCATAAGATTTTTCACCTCTTGTTCCACTTATGCATAACACGCAGCTGGGATACTTCTTCATTTACACTATTTTGCACATCTTTAAGAAGTGCTGCCTATGCTACTAAGCCAAAACACGTCCCACGCAGATGTTAGAGCTCTTAAGACCCTAAGAGAATGTGCCTGAGAAAATATAAGCACAGGGCAAAGGAAGAGGCAATCTCTCTTCCTTTCTTTCCTAAGGAGAATAGCAGCAAGTACAGCATCATAAAATTAAAACCAAAGCCGACATGCAGGGAAAACAGAAAGCACCTAGCATTTGACAGATAGACAGGACTGACAAATAGACAGGACAGACATGGCTATGACATAGAAACTGTTCAGATAAAGAATATTTATTCTAACACTTCATCATCACCATATCACCTAGACACTTTGTTGGTGGGGAGAAGAGAAAAATAAAATTTATCTTGCCATTTTTGCTTTACTAGGGAATATGTAACAGTTGGCAGTGTAATACACTTTTTATTTTCATGAGTTATGGATGTGCATGGCCATCCCTAAAAAATTGAAATAAAAACTGTATTACACCGCCAAGTCTCATATATTATATTTATACCATACCAGAGGAGGTGTCTGCAGAGCAACTATAGATATAAACTTTTATTATATCTATAGTTTCTCATGTTATTAGTATAGTTGTGAAAATAATAGGATTTACTGAAGGTTGTTATTCCCTCTAGCATCACTGATGTGGTATAAACAATATATTGACCTTTTGGATATATTTGAACCATAGCAATGGATTTGAAAACATGGCCACCTGACCTGCATAGCCTGAGCTCCTGTCCCCAGTCTAAGGCAGTGGGCTGCTGATGCCATTGCAAGGCAAAAATCAGGTTAGCCTCATAATGCACACCGCAGTACGACCAACAGTGTTTCCTTTTCCTTCTTCTCAGTGTGTGGGGACCAATAACCAAACTCTAGCCTGTTAAATAAATACAGAAAAGGTGTGAAGGCCCCAGGCTGCAACAGACTGCAGTATGGTGTAGTACTCAGTCACTATGCTTAGGATCCTAAAGATGAAAGTCACAGAAATTTGCCACTGAAAAGCGTAGAGCCCAATGACCTTGTTAAGCCCATTGCAAGAGCTTTCCAGGTTTTCCAGATGACAGTCACACTTTTTGATGGGTTTTACAGTTTCTCCCCCATGGCAAACCCTTGGGATTGGGGTGGGGTGTGTTGGCTGCTCCCTGTTTCTCAGCCCTGCAGGAGCAAACACAGACTCTGTTCTGCCATGGAGGTCCCATGGTGTTTGATGTGTCCAGGCCGTGGAAAAGGACTGACACAAAGATGAAAAGTAGGGAAGAAGGAAGCTGCCACAGCTGCTTGTAGTAAGGTGGGTGTCCTCTGCCGCCCTGCACGCATCACGAAAAGCCTCTCTCCAACCAGTTGCATTTGTTTTCCATAGGGGCACAGAGGTACCCACTAGAGTTTTCTGAGATCAGAGGCACAGGAGAAGCCAGGAGCACCTGTTTACTGATGGGAAATGCCATTAGAAATGGGTCTGGGAAAACAGCATATTTATAGCCTCACACAGCACCATATGGTGCATGGTAGCAGAAATCTTCAATTGAGATAGATGAGCAAATGCAAATTTCTACTTAGGTTCAATTTATTATTATTATTATTATTATTTAGCAATCATTTTATTTGGTTTGCTCTCTTTGTCTGCGAGTGCTCAGGCTGACTTGGTCGTATCTTGCCCTTTGTTTTCTGGAGAAGGCTGAAGGGGCATATATCTTTAATTGTTTAAATAAGCCTATATCCACTGGAAGAAGGGGAGGGGGGAGTAAGGAAGAAAGGATATGCCTGGGGATGACAGGCTGAGAAGCTGAAGTCAAAAGGACACATAGCTCAGGCCCTTAGGACAGGAAAAGCAGCCCTCAGAAATTTGAGGTCAGTCAGGCCAGAGACAAAACTGATTTCTTTTTAATCAAGCTTAATTGATTACATTAATGCATGAATTTGTGCACAGTGAATCAACACACCTTTTTAGCAGATCTTTAAAGGAAAAAAAAAAAAAACTGTTTCTTTTTGGCAAGGGTACTTCTAGGCTTAAGTCTGTAAATGACATTTGGGTTTATAAAAGGCTGATGTAGTCCTTCGAAAATGCAGCAGTTACCTTGCTAATAATGCACGTGTAATTCAAGCCAAAAGATTCTTAATTTCCTACCCTATTTCAATTTCTCTTTTCCTTTATTTAAAACCAGCACTGCTCAGCTCCATCTCTTTTTTATAACTGCTACAAGTTCTCTCCTGTCAAAAGTGGCCATGGGTCCCTGCTTTTTGTGTCAGGATTGTGCTAGTCCTGGCTCTTACAACTCTGTGCCAGAACAGTGTAAGGGTTTGATAACTCCTGTCAAGATGAAATCCTCTAAACTAGCAGTCCTAAGTCAATCTTTCCCACCTTTCTTTGCACCTCGGTTCAAGAGGTACCAGGTAGTCAGTATGGAAAATGAACTTGTATCTCCTGGTGGGATCATACATGTACCTGTAGGTCAGGACAGAAGAGTATAAGAAGGGCTCTGCAGCAATACTTGCAGTGGTGCCAGGCTCACTTGGTAAGCAAATAACACCCTCCAAAATCCAGGGTTGTCAATCTGCCATTGCACCACATGCCCATCACAAGCCTCATGCCAAAATGCAAAGGGCATTCTTTTGTTAATGTGTTAAGGTAACTGATGGCTCATGGAGAAGCCTAGGAAACGATTGTAGTTTTGCTGAGTTATTAAGTGCCAATGGTGCTTTAATACTGTATGCGTTTCAGAAATAAAGATAGTGACTGCCCTGAAGGCTTACAGTCTGAAAGACAGATACATACAATACACAACTCCCTATGGATACTCTGAAGAAAGATTTTTTTCTATTAAGGAGCTATTCGGATTTAATTTGCTTCTTTAATGTGATATTGGAACAGTGCAGGATTCAGTGTCAGCCAGCTGAAACTAGTCCTCTGCTGGGCTGCAAAGATTACAGAGGAGGATCAGCATGATGAGAGAGAGAAGGTGCAGCCCCTGTCCGATTCAGGAAGTTCTTTCCTGGAGATTTACTCCACACCCAGCAACCTCCGTCAACCTGTTGTTTATTGGGGATGTACAGTCATCATACTTTGTTTACTGGGGATGTACAGTCATCATCCTGAGACGGGAAAATTAGGCTACAGGGAATGTGGTAAACTGAAATTTGGTATTAAGGGACATGATGGCTGGGACACGGGAGTTTTGGGCTGCTTCACACCAGAGTTTTTGAAGCAGGGAGTGTATTAGGTATGGGGAGGCAAAAGAGCTTAAGTTTTTGTAGTCTAATTGTGTACAGTTTTGGCATCCACCTATGGCAAAACATCACAGTTGATACCTTTGGGAAGTCCTAAATCCAGGCAGCCGTGCCTGCTCATGCATGCCAATGTGTGCACAGACATGTGAGTCTTTGCCACCCTCTGTAGGAAATAAAACAACCTGGAGAGACAGGATTTTAAGGGGCTGGCAGCACCTTATGCAGAGCATGTATGGGTTCCTCCACCACAGCAGTTGCGGAGGACCACACCACCCATTTCTCTAGATGACTCCCAGGGCCTCGCACTCTCACACGGAGAGGGCTATGAGGGAGAGGCATTAGTCCTCATTCGTTCACTTAAACCGGTGCCAAAATCAATTTTGAAAAATTATCTCAAAGTTGCTTTCAACTTGATCTGGGTGTTTCTTTACTGCTGGAATATCACCCCGTACACTGGAATCGTTATTACATCACACTAATCTAATTTAAATGCATTTTTACTGTACTTGGTTTAATGAATGTGGAATGTGTCACTATGAAATTGCACCATTAATTTGATAAATAGGACTTGAAGGTATAATTTTTTCCAGCATTGCAGACTAATGAAGCTAAAATACATATATAATAAGAAGTGTAAATAATAAATTATTCTTAGGAGCAAAAAAATTAATTAGATCTTACCACAAATTGCATCTCAATGTCAAAGTTTTTTTACACTACTGACTTTCAAACTAGTTGGAACATGACTGTGATCCTTGGAAAGTTTCTCAAGTAATTACTGAATGTACACATATTTGGGAATATACCTTAAGAAGCTGTTTTACTTCAAACCGGTCCTTCAGATACAGCTATCTCGTATTCCCTGCTGTTACATCTCAATTTGAACAACATTTAGAGGAATTCCTGTTATTATTTGATCTAAATTTCAGCGTTTTATTTATTCTTTAAGACTTGAGGAAACTTTTTTTTTTTTTTTTTTAAATTCATGACACTGATGAGAGAGCAAAATTAGGACATACTGCATGCAAATCCTCTGCAGAAGCAACTGTACCCCTGCAGCTAGCTAGCTGCTTCTGCTGTTGAAATCAATGGGAGTTTTTGCCACTGACTTCAATAGGAGAAGAGACTACTGTACAAAGCACACTACTTTTCACCAGTAATGGAAATGTCACAGCGGTGCCATTCAGGAAGGAAACCAAGTGGAGGGAAATTAAAGAGGAAACTCCAGTCTTGTGCAGTTTAGTTGCTGATAGCTCATCTCGCTCTGCCGACTGCACCCTCAGCCTGTTACACAGCGCTGCCTGGTTTAGCATTCTCTGCCTCTTTGTCATTTCTTATTGAGTCCACAAAGAAAGGTTTTATCTCACTCCTCTGGAAAAGAAAGCACCTAGAGATTGAAGAGATCAGGTGGCATTTCACCTCTAGTTTCCTTCATTCCCAGCTGGAGAGCTTTGAATACTCAGCACAGTCAACTATTCTCTGACTATTCTATAGCTAGATGAAGGACCATTGGCCAAAATGTCATCTTTAACCTTATTTTCTGTTCCTAGTCTGTGGTTTAACAACCAACATTTTTACTTCCCGTTGCTTGATTTGCAGCCAAAATTCTGACGTGTTATCAGTTTTGTTGCCAGATAACGCATTAAGCCTTACTAAGGGGT